ATGAACACTCTTTCCCCAAAAACAGATCTAAATTGTCCAATTTGACTAAAGTCTATGAAGAACACTCAAGAACAGTTTGTACCAACTCAAATGTCAAAATCTTCAAACCGATCCATCTTTTTTGAAATTTGTTGGAATTAACAGAAGAAATTGATTCTGATTAGTACTAGAAACAAAACCTAATCAAAGTTTGATCAAAAAACACCAAAAAATGATCAAGAATGGATCAAAGTCAATTCACCAAGTCGTTTGAATAAAATATACCAAAAATTCAACAAAATGTTGTTCCAAATCTGTTCTAGACTACTATTATCTGCTCTGATACCAATTAATAGTCCCAAAATACAATCAAATCATGAATTCATATATGAAATGTGAGCATTCAACAATGGCAAAAGCTTTTCTTTATAGAGAGAAAAAATATTCAATTCGGCATGGTCAAAAATGAACTTCAGGCTTACAAGAAACAAAGGAACTAAAACTATTTATACCAAAGGTATTTACAAGAATAACCGTCAACTTGAATACAACAACATAAGTATCCAACAAAAATATTATCTTGTTTATTGTTTTGTAGGTGATACAGTTTATATAAGGGATGCTTTTCATTGACTAATAACATATTACTTTTGGAAAATATTCTCTTCTTCATCTTTTTATTAAGATTGTTGGAGTTGGCACTTGCTAGAAGAGTGTGGCTTCAAATAACCATTTTAAGTGTATCAAACTAGTGTTTTCATTGAGGGATACCATAAGAGTAGAAAATTAATGGTACAGTTGCTGATGAAACATCCATTCGATGCTTTAACCTAGAAGATAGATAGCTTGGCCACAGAATTACAGGCGGTAAAGGCATTGGGGTCGGTAGGTGCATCGAAAACTGATCGTACAGGTGTGATCCCGAGATCTATGTGGTTATATGTGCCATGTTTCAAAGGTACCAATCTAGAAGCATTGATTTTTTCAATGGAGGAGTACATTGGTCTACATGGGACATCGACGAATCAAAGACTACGGATTATCGTATTTAATTAGGATGGCAATGTGGCTAAATAGTTTCGATAGATGCAACGAAATAACTTGATTACTACTTGGAAAAAATATTTAGAGAATGTACACAAACGATTTGGCCCCTCAAAATTTGAAGACCTACAAGGAGCACTTTCTAAATTGTCTCAAAGTTGCACAATCACATAATACCAAGCCGATTTTATGAGGATGATGAAGCATGTAACCAGTATAAATGAATCCAAACTAATTTCATTTTATATTAACGACCTGAAACCACCACTACAATGAGAGTTATCGTTGTCAAACCAACCACGTGGGTTGAAGCATTTGCATTGGCCACTATTTCTAAATTTTCGTAAAGCCCCGTTTTAGGATAGCTTGTCTCTGCCACATATTGGTAACTGTAGCCAACTACTTGGAACAAACCAGATATTACCGAACACTACTAATTAGGATGCTTGTTGTTGCTATCACAGGAAACAACCCAACTTTCGCCTACTTTTGCACATCCAAGCCAAGGAGAAAGGACTTATCAATGAACATAAAGACAAATGTTAGTCAACTTCTTTAAAGGTGAAAAATATCCTCTATGTGCTGATATAAAAGGTTGTATGCAACTACCTCGCAAAGAATGCCCCTGTCCAAATAATTTTTAAGTACAGACATTAATCATTTTTCTTCGGATGCGTTGACGTTCCCCTTTTTTCACCAATATGTTTGATGTTAAGAAAATATCTCTTGTAGGAAAGGTGGCTAGAGATTTCTTGTAAAAGCACTAGTACTGCTCAGTTCATAATGAGAAGATTTTCATTTTATTTATAATTTTCTCTATTCTTAGAGATCATCTGCAACTCTCCTCCTTAAAGAAAACTATGTTGATAGTTCTTTACAAATATTCTTGATATGTTCTTTGCATGATATTTCTTTTATGTGTGTAATTGATCATATTTATATCAGTATGAATTAATACTTGAAAATATTTGAGTACTTTTATTCATTTTCCATCTTTTACAATTACTTTCAATTTATTGTCATCGAATTCAAGACCTCAAGGTTCCTTATATCTTTTGTATTAAACATATTATTTCCCGTCACTTAAAGTGAAAGTAAGGGGTTGTTTATCAAACGCTTATAGGGTAAACGCAGGTAATATTTGCGGTCATCAAAATGCATTGTTGGTGAACGTTTATTATTCTCTAAACACCAACCCGATAAGTAGATTGACTCACTTACCAAATAAGATTCTCGCTCCTTGTCATGCCTACTCATTGAACACTTATTCAATAAGTGTCTGTTTAATGTCATTTCTATCAATAAAATATGAAAATCGAGCAATACATGAAAAATATTCAAGGTATTTTTACAAGAACCGATTACAATAACGAAACAAAAACATCATATAAATTCATGAAAATTACTAAAGCAATTCAACACTTTGACTTTTTATGTCACACACACAAAATCATGATGTTTGCGTGTAGAATTGCTTATAAAACTTGATATAATAAAACTAAAACCTTATGCAAGATTTTAGAACATATTTGTATAAATTTCAACGATGATGATGGGTCTCTTTCATTCAAAAAGTCGAACTCAAATTGTACCTTCTCTTTGGTTTAAATGAATAAATACATAAGAAATGGTCACTAATTACAACTAGGACTATGAATGAAATCCAACCATACCAAATAAACTCACGAGAAAATGACACAAATAGCCATTTCAACCGACCAAATTTATCTCTTAGTCATTTCTCTCCCAATATTTCAAAAAGTAATGACCTCAGCATGTAACCATTCCTTAACTTGAAAGGGCCCAAAAAAACAAGTTTAATGCAAGGCGGGCAATGCATTTGAGGTGGTTCCGCAAGTGAAGTTTGAATGGAAGTTCCGCAAGTGGGTCCACAAGAGATGGTTCCATGAGAGTTCACACGCATTTTTGAACTTATCAATGCTCTTCCGCCAGTTGAGGAATGGTTACTTGTGGAGGTGGTGATTTTTGAAATCTTGAGAGAGAAATAGCCAAGAGGTAAATTTGGTCCCTTAAAATGGCTAGTTGTGCCATTTTCCCAATATATCCCATAAAGAGGTTCGGTACTGGAGCTAAAATGCATGCAGACATGGCCTCCATCCAAGAGGGTAGAGGTTGTTTCCATGAGTATCCCAGAATATAACACTATAAATTAAGAGGTTGGTGAAAACAAAACTTGTCTGTGAATGATATTCTGGGAGGATAAAAATGATGAACAGACAACACCAAAGTAGGAAGCTTTTTCTACAAAGAGAACCAAACTTTTCAACTTCTTCTTCTGCAGCAGGCTTAAGCCAACATGCCTGTGCATGCTCTCATAATGGTTCCAGCAACCCCATAATCACAATGGTCCAACCCCACAACCTGATCACTAGTCGTCGGTCCCCACCGCTCCTACTAACTTTTCTTGCATGCAATTCCTAAAACTAATGGCATGGTCCATGGATACAGAGGAATAATCATGTTTGCAAAATACACTTCATGACACTTTTGCACAAGTCAAGGTCTTCACTGAAACAACTGCTCCACACTTGAAAGATAAAGATCAAGACTGTGTATATCTCACCCCTCCTAGACCCTGCTTTCGAACGTGAGTTACTGTGTTTGTTTGGTTTGGTTTGCAGAAGACAGTTCAAGTTTCGATATGAATGACCAAAACAACCCACTTCCATGATTGATTAGTTTCAGCTAAACTGAACAAGACATTTGATCTAAGGTGATGCTCATGAACCACGACGAAGAAATCAGAATGAACAATGACGACACTGAACTTTATGCTAAAATGATCCGGCAGTTACAAGAGAAAACAGTCACTTGATCCGGCTCATGGCCAAGTTGACTCTAAATCATTGCATAAGAGCAGCCAGGCTCATATCAGAGCATGCCTTCCATCAATGATGTTTTCACTTAATTTAACAAAAAATAAAAGTAACTAGCAAGTCAAGATTAAGGCCATGTTGCTGAAAAGCTAGCCGACGGCTGATGAGTTACCTAATAAACTAGTAAGGTTCAAAAACTAGCCAATAAGCTAAATGACAATGTAAAATAATCTAAAATGACATGTTCATAAATTATTTGGAAAATATAAGGGTATAATTGGAAGAAAACAAATTATTGAAGCACTACTAGAAATAGTTTCTCAAAAAGCTAGCTTATGGCTCATCAAACATGGGTTTTCTCGATAAGCTAAAAAAAATGAGTTAGGTTATGGTTGCCAAACATGGGCTAAGCATAAACCAGAAATACTAACGAACAAGAATAAAGGCAATCATATTGCATCAAGAGTGATCAGTAAGACATACAAAGAGCTACATGCTTGGTACAATGGCAAGTTGTTTTGGTTCCGTTATGAGCCTACCTTCACTAGATTGCGATGAGACGCGTATTCTTGTTAAATGTCAAATAAAATAGGTCTCGCATCACGAGTAGAAGTGCATCTCTTTTGAAACCGAGGCATTACTCACTACAAGTGATCACAATTCTGGTATACTGCTCCTAAATTGAAGCATCTTTTCTTTCAAGACTCTATTTGTTTTCCGAGATCTAAAGTGCCCTAGAGTGGATTAGTAATTAAAAGAGCTCTATTTAGTTAGCCATAAACCAGCTCTTTGAAAGGCTCCTCCAAAAAGCATTTTAATAAGCAGGGACCTTTTTTTCCCAGTCATGCCCCCTATATTTTCCAATTAACTTTTTAGCATGTTCTTTTAGGTTGGTTTACATTGTCAGCTAGTTTTCACCAAACATGACTAGTTTATCAACTAGCAACTAACTTCTTAGCCAACAACTAGTTTTTCAGTTAGCTAGTTTATCAACTAGTTCGCCAAACATAGCCTTTATATATGTATGGTCTAAAAACATGAAATATCAACACTCTTGTCATTCAAATACAGTCTTGAACCCATAGCCAAATACCACTTTCAAATACACTTCACACTGTAAGAAGATGAAGCATTTGATTAAATTTTTTATGTATTTTGAAGGCTAAGCCCGTATAAACCAAAGTATATAAAAAACCTCATCAATACGATAATTAGTAATTACAAACATCTACAAGCCCAAGATCTCTGATATTTACGTTATCTTGGACAACTACTATCTTCTATGTTATCATTCAGTATAGAAAGCAAAGCAAAAGAACGAGAACTCACTGAAATGGCAAATCCATGAAGATATCAGTATTGCAATTGCCAATCCGTGCAATCATCAAAGTCAAAACTGCTTGCACAATCCAATAAAGCATTCTGTTGATGCTCATATCGACATATATAATTTAACCCCACAAGAAGATCACATATGGCCGCCTCTGTCTTTGCCCGATCTGCAAAATGCAAAGTCTGCAGAAGAAGGACATTTGTTCTTGACACAATATGCTGTTGTTCAAAATTTCGCTCATTTTGCCAACGAATCATGTTGTGTGCCAAGGGTGCGAGCCATGCTAATATCCCATCAAGCCTGTCTTTCCAATCATGTGCAAGAGGGGCATCATATATAGCCAAATCTTTTGCATAAGACTTCAAACTTTTCTTTAAACCCAATCTTAAGCTCGTTGGTAACATTTGATACAAATCATCTCTAGCTTCTTCGCCAACTAAATGTGGGTAGTGAAGTAATTTCTCAATCACGATTACAACATTAGCGTAATGCAATGCTAAAGCAGAGCCTCCAACTGTGTTTGGAGGAGCTCGTGCCATTGATCTACTCTTTTGAGCAGTTGTACAACTCTTTATGAAATTACCCTTAAACATTTTGTGATCTACACTTGTGGGAACCCGGGTATGATTCATAATCTCTTTCTTTCCGCTGCTTGACACACTACAATGACCTGATATGTGGCTGCTTTGATCATTATCACTTACTGGAACAGAAGCATCATCACAATCATCCAGTTTTGAAGTGTTTATGCTTAAACATTCCATAAACAATCTCCCTGGTCCATACCCACAAGAAAAATTGAAGTCTTGAGCTTTAAAAAGATTCATCTCACCCTTTCTTGGGTGAATCTGAGGCCTGAAGGTGGCCATCTTCTTCTCCACTAAACTTGAATTACTAGAACCACCACAAGATTTCACACTACCCACATCAATTTGATCTGATCTTTGAGCTAGACTTGTACATGATTTTAATCTTGAGCTTTCAACTGAAACAGAACTACTGGAGAACATATGTCTCCTGGAAATCGAATCAATGAAAACTGAACAGATTCGAGCATAAAGTGTACACACAGTTCTTGCAAGCATCTCCGTGATTTTGTTGTAAGTTTGATTCCATAGTGAAACATCCTTCAGGTGTCTCACATCTTGGATCTGCCAAATCAATTTCTGCTCGAAAACTTTTCTGCTTTCTTCGTGCTGGTTTTGCTGGAATTTTTTCGTTGCAATCTCCAATTCATTCAAAACAGCCATTTCTCCATAGAGCGTGGCTGTGGAATTAACAAATCGTTCCATCTTTCGCACCATTGCGTCCATATCTTTCACTAAGAACCCTAATTCCCTCACATCAATGGCTCCAGTGATTATGTCTCCAAAAACATGCTGAAAACCTTGAAGCTGAGGGATTGTAGACTTCTTCCCGAGCCTGGAGACGACGCCGGCGATGAAACTCAACTCTTCCAGCTTCTCCGAAAGCGCGAGGTCTAAAAGATCGGTCTCGTCGGAGGACACTAGTTTTTTTACACCATCGAAGCTAAGAATCTCGCTTTTGAGCTTGGATATCTCGGAATTGGTTAGGGATTTGTGAAGCCGAACGGTTTTTGACATCACATTCGCAACCTCAAACGAGAGAATTCCTATTGTTCCCGATGTTTGGTTGCGGATTTCTTGCTTGTTTTTGGTGGATTTTTCTAAGAGGAGAGCATGTTTGAGATTGGAACTCACATGGCTTCCGATTCTCAGCAACCAAGGCTCAGCCATCATTGCGGAATCTTTGAGATCAGCCAGCAACAAAAATTGAAGAGGATGAAAAAATCTAGAAACCTGAAATCCTTTGACATTAAAGATGTGGGTGTGAAAGGAATTGAGTAATTGGTGTGGTGGAGTGGGAGGGAGAGGATATTTGAAAAGGGAGAGATGACAGTTTGAAAGAAGCCAAAAGAGTTCTTGGGTATTACGTCCCAATGGGGCTGCCCTACCTGCCCTCGTTTGCCTCCGGTCGACTTTAGACTAGGTTGTAAATGAACCGAACGTTCAGTGAATCGTTCGTGAACCGTTTGGCGGAAAGTTTGTTTATGTTCGTTTATTTAATAAATGAATGAACATGAACTATTTTCTTTTGTTCGTTTAGTTAAACGAACGAACATGAACAAGAGTCTCGTTCGTTCATTTATGTTCGTGAACGTTCGTTCATTTATGTTCGTGAACGTTCGTTCATTTACCGTTCGTTTATTTACCGTTCGTTTACGTTCGTTCATTTATGTTCGTGAACGTTCGTTCATTTACCGTTCGTTTATATTCGTTTGTTTATGTTGGTTTATATATTAAGTTTAATATATTATCTTTTATTTATTTACTTTGAATTCAAATAATATTTAYTTATGTTCGTTTAGCTCGTTCGTTTATGTTCGTTCGTTTACGTTCGTTTAACATGTTTACGAACGAACATAAACGAACACGAACACACCTTATTTCTAAACGAACAAACACAAACACAAAGATTTTCGTTCGTTTACCGTTCGTGTTCGTTCGTTTGTTCAGTTAAGTTAAACGAACGAACATGAACAAGCCTCCGTTCGTATTCGTTCGGTTCGTTTACAGCCCTACTTTAGACACATATATGGTTTTATACGTGTTGTTTTCCTGAGAAACCGACACCTTATTTATACATGAAACTTATAATAAAACATTAAGAAAATAAAAGGATTCAAATTTTTATAACAAAATCGGTCCAAAGCTTTTTGATGTTCTGGGTGGAGATGTTAAAACACATCCAACCAGAAGAAAACATAAATATATTTTAGAGTTTGTAAAATTGTTCAAATGATGTTAGTTCATAAATCAAATCATTTACACAATTTCTTTCTTCCAATAAAACAGTGTAAAACTTTGTATTATTTTTTATTTCTTGAATCATAATATATATATATATATATATATATATGTGTATGTCTTTTTTGTGTTTTATTATTTATATATATGTATCATATATGAACTAATACAAATATAATTTATGATATAATATTAATAAATATTATAACTAAAATAGCATTTGTAATCAAATAAATTAAAATTACAAACTTGCATAAACATTAAATACTAAATTTGTTGTACAATTCACCAACATCAGTTGGTGTAGAATTGTAATGAAATTGTGTGAAAATTGATATGAAAATGGGATTTTGGTGGTGATGAGATGTTCTTTACCGAACAACAAATCTACACCCAATTTCTTGAATATACATGTTTGACGAAATTATACACATAACAAAAATAATAGGTTGTCAAGTATTATTATAGGATCTTCTTAAAATAATAAGTTATACAAATATTAATTGTGCTATTAATTTTATTTCAAATAAATACTTATTGTTTTAAAAGCACGACAAAAATGAACTCTAAAAATTAATCGGAAGTGAAAAAGAGAAAATGAGGAATAAGGAGCGAAGTATTAAAAGAGAAATCTAGATAAATATAAACAAAATGATTTCCAACTCATTGGTAAAAGCCTCATAATAATACTAGATAACTTGGATTCAAATCTTTCTAGTTACACTTTCATTTGAATTTTAACGACTATACAACTAGTATTGGGCTTGGGATGCACCCATAGGGTCGGCCCTACTTCACAACAAAATCACTGTGAAGGTAAAACCTTTACAATATTTTACTATGAAATTTCATGTGTAAAACGATGATCTCACGGATTCTAAAAAAATGAAATATTGAAGGGCACCTAAAAACCATTAGATCAAAAAATCAAAGGTCAAAATGAAAATGGCATACTTGTAAATAAAAGGGAAGTTAAGGTTATTAAGTTAATTAAAATGGAGGGCAAAATTGAAAAAAAAAATCATTATTCTTTTTACTTTTTTAAATTTCAGATTTTTCTCTCGCTTACCAAATGTAACTCTCTCATTACTTCTCACATTCCCATCTCTCTCTCTCTCTTGTTCTTTCTCTCTTTCTCGATTGAATTTTTTCTTTTTTCTTTTGTTCGACAAATGATGTGTTTCTTTCTCTTCCCCATGGATGCATTTCTTCCACTTCTCTATGGTTGTCATTTACTCCTTTTCTTAGTGGTTGTTCTCTCTCTCTCTCTCTATATATATATATCAAATGAAGATGAATTCTAAATTTCTTGAGCATAAATGGAGAAGAAGATGCAAGAGCAATGGTGCTATTTGGGATGGAGGTTGGAGGAGAAGTAGAGGTTAGAGTTTCATGGTGAAAGGGACGTTAAATTTAGATGTTCACGGTTGTATGTACATGTGCGTGTAACACACATTCATCATTTTCATTTTTCGTTTTCTGCAATGCTGAAATTTGATCAATTCTTCATCCTTGCAAATTTGTGTTTTTGCAGTTGATGCACACGTACATACAAGGAGGAATTCAAATCTTCATCTTTTTATCATGTTTTTTTGTTCATACACACGTGAATACACGAGAGGAATTCAAGCATTCATCTTTATCCCTCTCTACTCTAGTTTTTTGAGTTTTACGTAAACGTGAATATGATGTCTCTTTTGCATGTTTATGCTACCCAAAAAATTACATTGAATACGTGTCTCAAGCACATGTGCATTTATCCCAGAAAATTGAAGGACATAGAATATTGTGATTCATTCACATGTACATACTACCAAGAAAATGAAGGATAGTGAATACTACGACTTATTCACACATGCATACAACCCAGAAAATGGAGGGTGAATACGACGACTAACTTGCATGTGGATGCAACCCAAAAATTTAAAGACGATGAATAAGAAGATTCATTCACCGGTACATACAACCCAAAAACCGAAAGATGATGAGGCTGTGATTCATTTACATGTGCATGCAACACAAAAATTGAATGAAGTAATCATTTATGGATTTTTTTTTTTGTAGATTGTGGAATATTTTTTTCGTAGATTATTTAACACAGTTTTCCATCTTATCCCACCTTATACCTCCAAGGATATCATAAGAACACCAAAACTGAACATGCACTATCCCAGAGACCAGAGTGCCTAAGGTAACCACACAAAACTGAAACACTAGTCAAAAATCAAGACTTATCCTTCACTCCTATCCTTCACCCCCATATCACCATGTCTCATATTTTAAAACAGGTACCTTTATTAAACCCCAACCTCAAATATCCTACTGGTTTAGCTATACATGGTAACATCAAGAATTCCCCCCCCCTCCCCATCCACATAGATTCTCCCATGCACACCCAAGAGTGATAGCCCAATTAAACATCTAAACTTCCAAACAACCTCTATCTCACTCCAAATAACGTCAAGACAAGGTCATCAACCATTCCCCTTCTCCTAAGACTAACTCCATTCCAAGTAATCCTCCCAACATCCTCAAACCTCAGATATACAAGAAGTATCTGCATTTAAAAAAAAATTAGTGAAAACAATATTTTAACGGCCCCCCCCCCTTTCAAAATCCCATTGTAACCCAATATTTCCTGGTCCACCTCTTAAAACAACCCACCCCCATGGATTATCAAATGCATAAATAACAATTCTTTTATTCTCACTAGAAGCCAACCAATGACACTCAACCGTTTGCACCATCCCAACCATACCATCAAGAAATGTTTCATTTTTTTAACTTTCTAACCATCCCCAACATCCAAGTCTTTAAAATCCCACTTCCTCACAACTTGACCATACATTCTTCCCTTCTTGAGATCAACACCCAACATATTTAGCTTAAAAGATTTTAAAATTCCTCTCTTTTTCTTATATTGAAAGATTATAAAATTCCTCTCTTTCTTTATCTTGAAAGATTTTAAAATTCCTCTTTTTCTTTATCTTTAAAGATTTTAAATTCCTCTCTTGCCAAATGAAATGCACCACACCCCTAATTAACAATCTCTTTATTAAGCTCCAACATGAGTTTTTACAAGGAATATTACTTATCTTCTTGGTAAACCTGGCCAATCCATCATTCTTCTCAACAATATCTATAAAAAAAACCCATCCAATGACTTGTAGTTAGAATAGAACGCGGGCTCTGTATATGAGACATTTTCTTGAGTAAGAGCTCTGTCTCTTGGAGTCTTCTGCATGAGAGCTCTTGGTCCAGACCGCTTCAAAAGGCTAAGTCATATAGACTAGAGTAAGAGACTTCTTACTTACACTTTTACAAGATGGGGTCTAACACTAAATAAGACGTACTCTTATTCATATTTGGCCTCAACTCCGAAATATCACTAAATTCATTCAGAGTATCCTTGATTATCTTCACAGACTTGACATCCCCATTTTAAAACACCATCAGATCATCAACAAATTCTAGAGAGATATTGTAGAGAGATAAACATATATTGAGAGAGTTTATCAATATACATGAAGATTCGATCTCTAGATCTTATTTTTTATTCGTTGTTATTTGATTGAAACTGAGTTAAAAAATTGGTATCAGAGCAAATTCAATTTGATTTAAAGAAGATTTGAGTAAAATTTTGATGTTTTTTGTGCTTGACGAAAAACTTACTGTTTTGATCTTGATTTTGTTGGTTTTGATGAATTTTGTTTAATCTTTTGATACAGATCTATTTGAAGCACATCATAGATCATTCCTGTGAATTTTCATCATCTAATTTGAAGTTTTGATCATCCAATTTGAAATGATTTATGGGATTTCGAGTTTGTGAATATTAGTTCTTGAAAAATTGATCAAATCCTTGTTATTTGATTCAAATTTATGATTAAAACCTTCATTGATTGTGTTTCTGCATCATTTTTTGAGCTTCATAATCATATTCTAATCATGATTTGTTGAGTTTTTGTGA